AGAATGATGCAAAAGATTTTGAATCCTAGGACCATTGTTCCTGGAATATTCCTTCTACAATACTATATTTATATTTTTCCCATTAAAATGGATTTTAAAAAAACAGAAAGAAAAGTCATGAGATGAGATAGACCCCACATCTTTATTTTAGAGCAATGGTTCCCAACTTTAGATGCCGAGATGTTCTTGGACTAAAACTGCTAAGACGCCTTCACCACTAGCTATGCTGGCCAGGATTTATGGGTGCTGTGGTCCAAAAATGTGTCTCTCTGTATTTTCCCTTTAATAGAGTTCTGGGAACTATAGAAATGTCCCAAGAAATGTTCCCATGATCTCCACTCCTGAGTAGTCAGCAACTTCAAGTAGCCATGGAAGGCAGCAATGGCAGACAGTTCTTCCTGAACTTCTCCCCTATCCCTCTCCCGTCCCTTGTTCTGGATGACAAAATTTGTGTTCTATGTGGTCTCTTCCACACTAACACATCTCACAGCTTTCAGGTGTGGTGGTGGAGGATGCTATCCCATTGCCACTGCCCATGTGAAGATAAGGTTTATTTGGGGTCTCTGTCAGCTCCTGTATGTGGAGTGCAGGAGAAGGGACACCATGTTGTCTTTTACCTCAGGTACCAACATGTCTTGGGCCAGGCCAGCTATCTTTTTCTCTGATTACAGAATGTTGGGTTGAAACAAACAAAAAACAAACAAACAAAAAGAACAGCAGAAATGGTAAGGCAGCAGAGCAGAGTTACAAATGGAAAAAATGTTGTCAGAGTTAGGTGTGGTGAATATTTCATGCTTTAAATAAGAATATGTGAAAATGTACAGATTTCAGCTTATTCAGAATAGACTTGACCTTTTTTTAATGAGCTTTGACTTAGATTTGAGAACCTATTTATTCAGCCATGTTAGCTCTGGATTAGGATGTCCCACTTTCCCTCCCCCCCATTCTGGGAAACATTTAACCTTCAGCACCTCCATGACATTTGGATGCAGTATATGTGTCTCTATGCTAGAAACAGTAGCTTTACCTATTGAATTCAGCCGGGCAGATGGAGAAGAATTTCACTGCAGCTTGTTTGGATGAATTTACTCAAATTTATAAATTTCTCCACATTTCAGCTGGAAAAAACTCGAAGGGTGGGGGAAGGGAAGAGAAAGTAAGACTAGGCAACTTTTTCCTCAGTCCCCCGACACTACTCCCCCTTAAGTTTTTATAAAAATTGTGCTCAGAAACCCATAATTTCTCTGTTTGCTGAAGAGGGAGGCCAAGTGTCTCAGATTCTGTGTGGAGAACATGGTGGCCAGTGCTAAAAGTTTGGCCCTGAGATTAAGGTTTTTTTTGGGGGGGGTCTTTTCACTGGATCTCAGGCTTTGGCCCTGAAATGGCCCACCCAAATTCCAGAATTGGTTTCTGGCTATGCCTTTTTAATGTGCTCGATAGTTTATTTATTTATATGTCTATTATCAGCTATTATATTTTGCCCTGAAGACAGATGCAAAGAACTCCTTTAATTTCTCTGCCATCTCCAAGCCCCACTTTCCCTCCCTCCCCATCCAGAGAGCCATCCGCTTCTCTGGCAGGTTTCCTGCTTATAACATAGTTAAAGAAGCTTTTATTATTTAAAGATGCTTTTATTATTCCCCTTTATATTGCTGGTCATAAGTTCCTCAAAGTCTTTCTTTGCCTTCCATATCATCTTCTTACATTTCTTTTGCCAAAGTTTGTGTTCCTTTCCCCCCTTTTGGGAAGGATTTCCACTTCCTTCCCAAATGACGAAAATAAAAAGACTCACTTTGAAAAACACCCTGATTCAAGCTCTCAAGGAACTTCTAGCTTTCAGGCACAACTGTAGTTATTCAAAGCTGGTTTTTAATCCAAAGCCTGTTTTTAAAAACAGGACTTGCCCTCCTCACCAGAAGGACAAGAAGGAGGAGTAGGCCATTATCTTGAGTTCTGAAGCCCTTCTGCCTGCTGGCAAGGTCTCTTCTCTCTTACGCGCCAAACTTGGTTGACGAAACGAGGAAGGATACCGACCGGCAGTGGGTTCTCTCCGCCGAGAGGGAACCCAAGTCAGTGCGAGGATTCCCCCGCGGCCTCCCCGTTGGCCAGCGGGGACTGGTGTGCCGATTGGCGGGCGGGCGGATCCCCGGGAGAGCTCCTGGGGCCAGAAGGAAGAGGGGAGGTTCCAGATTCCCGCCTGCCCAGCTTGAAACTTGAGCGCCCGGCCGCTCCCCGTCCAAGCTGCTGCTCGCCGCCCAGTCCCCTCCTTTTCGGGAAAAGTCCTCCTCCGACGGCAAGGGAGAAACGGCTGTGTCATTATTGTGGCAGGTACTCCCTTAGGTATTGTTAGCCAGGGAGGGCAGCGGGCCCGCGAAGAGCGCCCTGCGCCCCGGACAGGTAAGCCGGCCGGGCAGCCACCGCTAGATGGAGACGAGAGGGCCGGACGTGCCTGTGGCTGGAGAGCAACTGGAGTTGCTGTCCCCTCCTCCTCCTCCTCCTGAAAAGTTAAGCTGTAAGTGAAGTGAGAGACCCGGGTGGAGCCTTTGACGGCGGGCTGAGCTGCGAACAGCGCAGCAGAAGAGACGGGGACCGAGGCTGGACAGGGGAAGTTGATGTGAAGTGGAACTCCAGCTCCTGTCAAAGCCCTCAATGGGAGCTGAAGCCCAGTCCCTGGTTTATAGCGCGGGGGGGGGGGACATTGAGAACCTGATGGGCCTCTTGGCCTGGAAAGAACTGAACTGCTGACCTAGTAGATTTCATTAAAAGTCATGGAAGAGATGCTAGTTTCTAGGTGTATTCATTTTATCTTTGATATGACCCTAATCCTTTATTAACAGCGTGAAAGGTTTGATTTAGGTTGGTTCAATGACATTGATTTTGGTTGTTGTGGGTTCTTCGGGCTCCGTGGCCGTGTTCTGAAGGTTGATCTTCCTAACATTTCGCCAGTCTCTGTGGCCATGGGCATCTTCAGAGGACAGCACTGACTCCTTTCTGAGTTGGGACAGAAGCACTCACAAGAGTTCATGTGTATCCCTCAAATTTGAGAAATATTTCTACAATATTGTCATACTTCTCCCTCTTGGCAAATTATTTGGTGTTTTGCCCAGAAAAATGGTTGCAGACATCCTTAGCTGTTTTATTGGAATGAACTGAACTGAAATAATGGTTTCGCCCCTCTCTTTTTCCTTCTGATGTAGCACACGGAAAAAAGGACAGAGAACAAAGATGGATATACATAATATCAGTTGGAGCTGCCATGGTGGCTATACTTACTGCCTTCATCATCATCTGGATAGACTACCAATTACATAGTAAGTTATTTTGGCTGTGATGCTTCTTTTGGGAGATCCTGTGCCATGGTGCATATCAGGAAGGGATTTCAGCCTGTGGATCCAATAAGAGTCACGACATAAAGCACAGGTTCTCAACCCAGGGGTTGTGACTAGAGACGGGCCCGAATGAATTCAGGGCCCCTCAATGAATGTGGCACCACAGATGTCAGATTTTCTCTCCACCCGCGCCCCCATGCCAGCTGAGCCACTTACCAGTCATTACATATTGCCAGGGTCATTCTGTGCCAGCGGTGCACTGATCCAAGCAGGAGCCTGGCAGGCCTTTCCCCACCTCCTCAGGCAACCAACCACTTGTTTGCTGTGTGGGGAGAATCCCCGTCCCACCTCCTTGATGGAGGTGGGGAGAAGATCTGGATGGCACTCTACTTAAGATGCTGTCCAAAGCATTTTTTTGCAACTGGCAGCCAGACACCAATGATTTATCTCATTATTGTGTTTCAGCACAATTTCTCTTCTCTGTCTACCTTTTCCCACCATAGTCTATGGTATTCCCAATTACAGTGGTGCCTTGCATAACGATGTTAATTGGTTCCATTAAAAACATCGTTATGTGAAAACATCGTTAAGCGAAACAGCATTTCCCAGAGGAATGCATTGAAAACCGGTTAATCCGTTCCAATAGGAGCCTATTCAATACATTTCAATGGTGAAAAATAATCACCAAAAATTCAAAAAGACTCAGGACAAAGCCAAATTACTTTAACGAAGGTTTTATTAGGTGCACTAACGATTCCAAGCATTTTAAACATTTTTTAAACATTTTAGAATATTTTTAAAATAGCGAAAACAGGGCTGTCAAAAAAAACGTTAAGCGAAACAGGGGACCTAAAACTGTCATCGTTAAGTGAAGCAAGGTCCCAAACATCGTTATGCGAAAATCCCCCATAGGAAACATCGTTAGGTGAGGCGGCAAAATTTCCAGCAAAGGCAATCGTTATGCGAATTCATTGTTGAGCGAGGCACTCGTTAAGCGAGGCACTATAGAGGAAGGTTTGTTGTTGTTTAGCCGTGTCCAACTCTTCGTGACCCCATGGACCAGAGCACGCCAGGCCCTCCTGTCTTCAGAGGAAGGTTAGATAATGAAAAAACAAGATAGAGGAAAAGAGATTCATTTGAAATTGATACTGGAAGAAAGGTTTACAGATACCATGAACACTAAAAAAGATTAGTAAGAGGATTTTAGATCAAGTCCAGTCTGAAGCCTCATTAGAAGTGAACAAGACTAAAGTATGGTTACTGTACTTTGAACGCATCATGAGAAGATGGGGCTCACTGGGAAAGACAATAATGCTCAGAAAAGTAGAAGACAGTAGGAAAAGAGAAAGACCTAGCAGTGAGATGAATTGCTCAGTAAAGGAAGTCACTACCTTTAGTCTGCAACACCAGAGTAGGACTGTTAATGATAACACCTTTTGGGAGCCATTGCTTTGGAAATGACGTGACTGGTAGATAAATCACACACACAGTGAGGGAAAGGATAAATGCATGCTCCCACACTGGAGACTTCCAAGAGAAAAATTTGACAGCTATCTACCAGATTTGCTTTGATTGGAATTCCTACATTGAGTAGGGGGTTGGATTCGATGGCCTTAGAGGCCCCTCCCCACTCAATTATTCTGTGACTCTACGATCAGGGCAGAAGAGGTTAATTTATAGCCTTCCAGATGTTGCTGGACCACAACCTCCAGCAGCTACTCGCCAGCAATGATCAGAAATGGGAGTAACTGCAGCCCAATCACATCTGGAGGACCACATGTCTCCCATCCTTGCTTGAGAGGTTATATAACTTGCATGCTTTATAAACTCTCAGTCAGAAAGACTTATAAAGATGGAACTCACTCACATGGTCAAGGCAGGACTGGTAGAGGAACAGTTAAAGCAGTGATTGGCCAGGGTATCTGCAGGTTATTATCTAGACAGAAGGTACAGGAACCCCATTTCCCCTCAAGAACACAAGTAAAGTAGGGACAGCCTTGTTGGCACAAATACATCCCAAAATACATGCTAAGGTGAGATAGTTTTTGAGTAATTTTTTTGAACAAAACTGGGGAAAAGCACAAGTTAACAGTGGAAGCTTTCGAAAGGACAGCTCTCTAAATTGTTTTCCCTTCAGCGAGGAGACCTGTTCTATTGAAAGCTTGCAAAGTTTGTGCTTTTGCACACTTTTTGTGCCTCTTTGGTTGTCTCAATAAAAGGTGTCACTCAGTACCTATTTTTCTTATGCTTCTCCCCTTTTTCTGTGTATGTTTCTTAAAGAGAAATGTCAGGTTAATTTTCCTCTTTCCTTTTCAGTTGCAGAAATGGAGCTGCAAAGACACAATTGCGTTTGTCCTCCAGTGTTTTCTGGCCCAGCGTGCCCAGATGATTGGATTGGGTATCAAGGGAAATGCTACTATTTTTCAGATGTAAACAAAGATTGGCACTTCAGCCTGAATGCCTGTTCTTCTCAGAACGCCTCTTTACTCACTTTCAGTCATGATAAAGAAAAGGTAAGGGCCACAGTTAGTCTTTGTGCTTTAAGCTGCCCTTTGTTATTTACAACAGTGTTGCTGGGGACAAGAGCAGGTTTCAAGGCCAGATCACATATTGATCACAACTGTATGAAATGAAGCACTGAAGGGTTTCCTAAGCTATAAGTAGCTTTTGAAGGCTATGGGCCTTTCCACCTGAGACCTTTACTCCAGAAAACCCATTGCTCATTTACAAGCATGTTATGCACATTCACTTCTCCACAACATTATTCTCCTTCATCTTTCCTTGTGGGCTGAGATATTCTCTGGTCCAATGGTTCTTCCCCATATTACACACAAATGTATCTAGTGAAACTCTGAAGGGTTCCATAAATTAATAATAGCCTTGTAGGGCTATGGGTCTTTCCACATGAAGTACAGTGGTGCCTCGCTTTACGATTGCCCCGCATTATGACGAAACTGCATTACGACGATCTTTTTGTGATCGCAATTGCGATCACTAAACGATGGTCTGAATGGTTTTTTTTCGCTTTGCGATTATCGGTTCCCTGCTTCGGGAACCGATTCTTCGCAAAATGACGATTTTCCTCCAGGTGATCGGCAGTTTCAAAATGGCCACCGGCTAAATAAAATGGCTCCCCGCTGTTTTCTGGGACGGATTCCTCGCTGCACAGGCACCGAAAATGGCTGCCCTATGGAGGATCTTCGCTGGATGGTGAGTTTCCAGCCCATTGGAACACATTAAACGGGTTTTAATGCGTTTCAATGGACTTTTTATTTTCGCATTACGATGTTTTTGTTCTACAGCGATTTCGCTGGAACAAATTAACATTGTAATGCGAGGCACCACTGTATTTACTCCAGGAAACCCATCCTTCATTCACACACTTCTTATACGCCCTCAGATAAGATCAGAAGAGGTTTATGTACCAGAGTACTGTATTTTAGAAGATCTCAGAGGGGATGGAAGCTTCCTGGCAGATACCAGGCCCAGGGGTTGTTGAGCCAGTTTCACTCCAGTAGCAGGAGAGATCCACTTAGGGCACATCCAGATGGAGGAAGTTGGAGCAGTCTGGTTTGTAATTAAAAAGTTCTTACCTTGAGTGAGATCTAGCTACCCGAGCAATCCTTCTGTTTGCACTGATCAACAGTTTTTCTTCTGTCAGAAGGGTCCAGAGAGATCTTTAGATTGACCCAGTTTGTTCTCCTTCTGATTAATGATTAACAATTCAGGTTGGACTTGATGGCCTTATAGGCCTCTTCCAACTCAAATATTCTATAATTCTGTGATTCTATTATTACGCTGCAATAAACTGATTAGGCTCCAGTGTTTTCTACCACAGTCGAATATGGCTACTTAGTTCAGTCACTACACTGCAAAGGTGATATAACTCTTCCAGTTGTTTAACATCTGTTTTGATCCAACTCCTGGAAGAATAGATGGATGGCTTATCTTATGTAGGATTCCACAGAGACTATAAAATTGTATTTTCCTTTCCTTTCCTTTTCTAAAAGTGGGCTTTTATGCCATAAAAGGTGGCTGGATAGCTAGGTGGTTTAGTTTTCTGGCTGCAGATTGGGAGTTCGGTTCCTTTCATGTTTCCTAGGAAAAGATGCCAGCCTCTGGGCAAGTTGGAAATTCTCCCAGGATGCCCCAAAAAGCAGGGAGTGGTAAACTACGTTTGAGTACTCTCTATCTAGAAAACACTGGAAAAGGCCTCTATAAGTCAGAATTTACTTGACGGCAAACAAATGTATTGCTATTATGCAATGAAACCATCCTATAATCCAGCAGTCCCCAACCTTGAATAACCCAGGTGTTCTTGGACTGCGATTTCAAGAAGCCTTCAGCAGCAGCTGATCTGACCAGGATTTCTGGGAGTTGCAGTCCAAGAACACCTGGCTAGAGAAAGTTGGAACCACTGCTATAAAAAGTCCAGTGCACTGAAAGATCTCTGTGAAAAAGAAAGGAGGGGCAATACTCCTCCTACCCCTACTGCTTCCAGAGTTCTACATATATAAATCATTGGTGGCTCATGAGCAGAGCATAGGGTATGCTCGCCCAGTTAGGGGGTGAAATGCCCCCTATTTCGGAGATACTGTCCCACAGAGATCACTGAAAGGTTTTGAGATCATGGATAAGTAAATGTACATTATAAATAGAAGTGGAATAGCTCGAAGAGACATTGACTGCTGCATTTCTGATCTGGACATACTGCAAACCAGTTCTCTAACATCCATGCCTTGAATTATGACAGGATTTTGTGATGCGTTTTCAACACAAACAATCAACATGGCTTGGTCTTTCGAAAGGTCCAGACCAGCTCTGGAGATGGACAAATGGGGGAAACTCAACGTGAGTCCACTTATAAAACATATCTGAGGACTAGCCACAATCATGACACTGTTGACAGGTCGTTCAATTCACTTTTGTTCTGTAACTGAGGTGGACATCTTGAGGTGCTCCAGATGTTGTTGGAATATAGCTCCTGTCAGTCTTAATCGATCGGCATAGCCAGTTGTGAGGGCTGATGGACATTGCCAACATCTAGAGAACCACAAGTCACCTACATCTATCCTACAAAAAGAATCTGCATACATGTTTTCCTGGTGGCATTTCCTGCATAGGAATGCTCTTGCCAGAAGTAAATATATCGTTTACAGGAACTGATCTCAGCATCACTCTTGGTTCTAGTACAATTATTTTTCAGGACAATTGCCTCAGAGCATAAGTGAGGAGCTGGAAGACAATGGAGCAGTTTTGAAAGGATACTTGGTTGGATATTTTCAGTGGCTCCAAGGCAAGAGTATGTCCTGATGGGATATTATGGGTCACATTGTCAGCTTAAGGGGAAAGGGATAGTTTATTTTATGGAGATAATAGAAGGTGCTGCAATGCATTTTTTTTCTATCAGCTTACTGGCCACCAATAGTAGCCACAACAGCTCATTAGTTTTCATTAAGAGCTATGTGGATAGGCTGCCTAATTTTGAGGTCACTTTCTTTGTGGTCCTCACTTGTCAATTACTGCCCACTGCATTTGACCAGGGTGTTTGGAAACATCAATCACTTGCTTTATGACCTTCTGTATTTTTATTGCAGTGTTCCGGTGGTGACTGGCGAAGGAGATTGTGCTTATTTAAATAAAGATGGTGGTGCCACTGGTGCGAGGTGCACCACAGAACTGATTTGGATTTGTGTCAAGCCTGATATATTTAATAGACAAAATGGAACACAGTGATCTGCACGGTATCCTGCAAACCTCTTTTGCTAAGATGTTCAGAAAAACATTTGTTTTTCTGTGGTAAGAATGTTATCTATATGGATGGTGACTTGAGAATGTGAAGCAGAGGTCAGGGGCTTCCTGATGCTTGGTTTCCTGCTTTAGCCATTGAGCCATGGCCTGATCTGACACTTCCTGCTTGAAAAGGGAGGAGGGAAAGCTCAGTATTGAATTCATGAGAGACAAGAGCTCAGCTTTGGGATTTTATTTGAGTTTTTGGAATACAGGCCCAGAAATACCTCAAGCACCAAGGCCTGTAACTAGGGTGTTCTTGGAAGTACATTCTCCCCTCTAAAAATGTTTACCTCTGTGTCAACTACACTGTTTACTTCGTTTCGTCGTTTAGTCGTGTCCGACTCTTCATGACCCCATGGACTAGAGCACGCCAGGCCCTCCTATCTTCTACTGCCTCCCGGAGTTGTGTCAAATTCATGTTGGTTGCTTCGCAGACACTGTCCAGCCATCTCATCTTTGGTCGTCCCTTTCTCCTCTTGCCATCACACTTTCCCAACATCAGGGTCTTTTCCAGGGAGTCTTTTCTTCTCATTAGATGGCCAAAGTACTGGAGCCTCAGCTTCAGGATCTGTCCTTCCAGTGAGCACTCAGGGTTGATTTCCTTGAGAATTGATAGGTTTGTTCTCCTTGCAGTCCAGGGGACTCTCAAGAGCCTCCTCCAGCACCACAATTCAAAGGCATCAATTCTTCGGTGGTCTGCTTTCTTTATGGTCCAGCTCTCACATCCATACATCACGACAGGAAAAACCATAGCTTTGACTATTCGGACTTTTGTTGGCAAGGTGATGTCTCTGCTTTTTAAGATGCTGTCAAGGTTTGTCATTGCTTTCCTCCCCAGAAGCAGGCGTCTTTTAATTTCGTGGCTGCTGTCTCCATCTGCAGTGATCAAGGAGCCCAAGAAAGTAAAATCTGTCACTGCTTCCATATCTTCCCCTTCTATTTGCCAGGAGGTGATGGGACCAGTGGCCATGATCTTAGTTTTTTTGATGTTGAGTTTCAGACCGTTTTTTGCACTCTCCTCTTTCACTCTCATTACAAGGTTCTTTAATTCCTCCTCACTTTCTGCCATCAGAGTGGTATCATCTGCATATCGGAGGTTGTCGATATTTCTTCCGGCAATCTTAATTCCGGCTTGGGATTCCTCCAGTCCAGCCTTCCGCATGATGTATTCTGCATATAAGTTAAACAAGCTGGGGGACAATATACAGCCTTGCCGTACTCCTTTCCCAATTTTGAACCACTCAGTTGTTCCATGACCAGTTCTAACTGTTGCTTCCTGCCCCACATATAGGTTTCTCAGGAGACAGATAAAGTGGTCAGGCACTCCCATTTCTTTAAGAACTTGCCATAGTTTGCTGTGGTCCACACAGTCAAAGGCTTTCGCATAGTCAATGAAGCAGAAGTAGATATTTTTCTGGAACTCTCTGGCTTTCTCCATAATCCAGCGCAAGTTAGCAATTTGGTCTCGAGTTCCTCTGCCTCTTCGGAATCCAGCTTGTACTTCTGGGAGTTCTCGGAATAGTTCAGCTGGAATGCCATCACCTCCACTGGCCTTGTTGTTAGCCAGGCTTTCTAAGGCCCATTTGACTTCACTCTCCAGGATGTCTGGCTCAAGGTCAGCAACTACATTGTCTGGGTTGTCCGGGATATCCAAATCTTTCTGATATCATTCCTCTGTGTATTCTTGCCACCTCTTCTCGATGTCTTCTGCTTCTGTTAGGTCCCTCCCATTTTTGTCTTTTATCATGTTCATCTTTGCGCAAAATGTTCCTCTAATATGTCCAATTTTCCTGAACAGATCTCTGGTCTTTCCTTTTCTGTTATCTTCCTCTATTTCTTTGCATTGTTCATTTAAGAAGGCCCTCTTGTCTCTCCTTGCTATTCTTTGGAAGTCTGCATTCAACTTTCTGTAACTTTCCCTATCTCCCTTGCATTTTGCTTCCCTTCTCCTCTCTGCTATTTCTAAGGCCACTGTTTACTTAGAGGTGTGTTTAAGCCTCCCACCGGCTTTACTTGAATAGGGTTTTTTAACTATCTTTCCCACACATGTGTTGCCAAACCTGAGTCCTGGGTTTCCCCTGCCTGGCCTTATGGAATCAGTCATCCAGGACAGGTTCATGGTGCAAAATACTCTGGACACCTTGGCAGTGGGTGGGGCTTGCAACTATTTTTGCTTTTAATTCCCAAGGGAAATCAAAGTCCTGTGGCACAGTAAGCTGCTGAGTCCAGTCTTGTTTTGAGAAACGTTGTCTAGAGACTACCTATCTGGGCTGGGGATCTGATCTTCCTTCATCTTCAGGACCAGGCTGGACATCATGACTTCTTGGGCTGCCAACATTGGGGTTTTATTTACAACTTCACACTCTGTCTCCAGTTTCAGTGACTGGGAGGGACTTTTCTGGGCTGAGGTGTTCGTTTGCCTGTCCAGCACTAATGTATTGTTCCTTCCAGCCTTTGAATTCAAAGAGAGCCCTGCCTCACTGCTGAATGCTTTACCCCTCTCTTTCCTTGGTTGGTGCTGGTTGTTTGCTTGCTGTTGATCAGTTCAGTTGGTTTCAAAGTATGAATGCAGCAAAGAAAGAAGCACACACAGGTATGTAATTTCAAGCAAATGAGAGTAAAGAAAACCTTTGAAGTTCTTTCTCCAACAAATGTATCAGAGTGAGTTATTGAGACTTTTAAGTGGCAGTTAATGAGAAAGGGGTGGGCTCTGGGGAACTTGTAGCTATTCTCCTTTGATGATGCTGTTCTTTTACTGCATAGTAAAAGGAACTTTACCAGAAAGTAAAAACTCTGCAACAGCATGCAAGCAGGGTTAGTGATTTAATGCAGAAACAAGGAGGAGGAGCAGTGTGCCGTCTTATTCCCATCCATCACCCACCATGCTTTTTCAAAAAAAAAATTGATTTGGAGTTTCCTTCAGTAGCATCAATCCCCTTTCACTAATTGCTGCCTTTGAGTAAGTAAAAGAAACTCAGAGATGGAGGGAGGGGGCCCTCGCCTTCTGATAACAGGCATGTGTAAAAGAAACCAATCCAGAACAAAAGTTTGTCTGAAAGAGAGTAATATGGTTATTTCTTTATAAGCTTGAATGGTGTCTGAAACTCCCCAAACTGCAGTTTGGAGGGAAGGAGGGAGGGAGAGAGAAAGAGAGAAAAGATTGTTTTGGTTTGGCCATCTCCAGAGATTGCAGCTGTTTTCATTTCCTCTGCCTCTGAAGAGTTACAAAACCTTACAAATAATGAGAAGAACGTCTTCTTAACCACTGCTGCTTTAAGCATTCAGAGGAAATGTTTCTGGAACATTTGCACTTAGTTTGAAGGTGGAGGAATCTATATTTTCAGGGAGGAATTTCAAAATATTCCTCTCTCTTCCACCCTCCACCCTCATCTCTTTTCTATAAAGAATGGCTATAAAATTAGTACCCAACTCACACAGGCAGTGATAATGTAAATACATAAAATTGTAAGTGGCTCAGAGAATGCTTGAACGGCTGTGGGGCAGTGTATAAGCAGCACACTTTGCGTATACTCAGGAGTGTTCCTGATTTATATCTAATCTTTATCTGTTTACCTTTGGATAGAAATAATAATGTTGTATAATAAACCAGTGTGGTTTATATGAAAGAAAGCATTCCTTATGAGAAATGGGGGGAAGACTTGTGGACCTCTAAAGTCTAGATTTTTATTGTACTGAAATCTCCGTCAGCCCCAGGGAGCATGATTAATGTTCGGGGTTGATGGGTATTGTCATCCAAAACATGGAAGTGTGCTTTGCCTTTGTCCCTTTGAGTACAAGAGACAATCATGTGGCAAGATCAGGGGCCTGTTAAAAGGACTTTGTGATTGCTTAGAAACTCTGCCTAATAAAAAGTGTTTGTTTATTGAATGTACTGGTTTGTTTTATTTAGTGTTTTATTTGAAGTCATGAGCTTCCTAGAAATATAAACCGGTTTGAAATACTGAAAATTGTGCTTATAGCACCACCCAGGGATCAAGCTGAGAAGATAAACTACCACACCTGGAAATCACTTTTCTTTTGACTTTTTTACACGAGAGTGGGCAAAGTCTGACAATATGTATTTGGCTTTGTTTTGCTGACCCCTCCTTTGGAGACAGGGAGTGAATTCTACTGACTGATGATGCCCAGGTAAGGACAGTAGGTAAGGACAGTAGCACCCAAAGAAATTAATTAATAAAAATATTTTTACCCCACCCTTCTCCTTAAAAAGGACCCCAAATCAGATTACCTCACTTAAAAGAAAATATTTTAAAGCTAAAACAGTAAGTATACAGATATTTAAAAAGAATCGAACAAATGCCACACTAAAAATGGTAAAGAAAATCAATAGCAAAAACAGATTCAAAGCAGCAAGGCATACCACTCCATTTAAAACCCATCTCCATTAACCAGGCACTAAGGGAAAGACTGTTTGAAGAGAAAGGTTTTTCTTGCTTGCAGAGGGACAGTGATGAGGGTGCCAGTCTGGCCTCCCATGGGAGGGAGTTCAGAGTCTGGGAGCAGCAACAGAGAAGGCCCTCTCCCGTGTCCTCAGCAAACACACCTGTGAGGGTGGTGGGACCGAGAGAAAGGTCACCCCTGATTATCTTAACACATGATCAGGCTCATAAAGGGAGATAATGTTTTTTGAAATAGCTTGACTGAAGTTGCTTGGACTTAATATGTTAAAGCTCACATTTTTAATCATGCCCAGAAATTTATCAGCAGCCAGTGAAACTGTTGTTACAGGGAAGTTATGTGATCCCTGTAACCAAGATGTACAAGATGATAGTGAATATTCTCGTGTGCAGTTGCTATAAAAAACAACTATGGGTGGTTGCATACATGTGAAAAAAAACAAAAAGGATTTGGGCTGGTGTGTTTTTCAAATTTACTGTGAGCAGCCCTGAGATCGCGGTTCCAAAGTAAGAACAGGACAAAAAAAATCAAATCAGTGGAAGAGTTGTAGATATAAATGGCAAGTTGTAGGGAACTGGCACATCCAATGAAACCAAACGATACAAAGAGAAACAGCCTCAGGATGTCTGAAATAGGTAACAATATGTGGTATGTTTGTTGTGTGGTGAAAAGCTTAACGCGTTTCGGCAGGGCCATCATCAGAAGCTTAAAAATGAACAAAATTACAAAATTATAAATATATACATATCGGGTTTATTCTTATAAACTATTATAGGACTCAAGGCCTTATAAAACTTACAAAAACCAAGCAAATACAACAATAAACCTATGTATATGAGTGGCTAAGGACCTATATCTTATGCACTTATTTTAAAAAACTTTAAAATACACCTGATATGTATACATTTATAATTTTGTAATTTTGTAAGACTAACATTTTTTAACAATTGTTTTT